CTTGAAGGAGAAGTGGCTTGGATCAAAGGGCTTTGCTTGGATTCGAGTTTCATTGATGTTGAGGCATCCTTTGGAGGTAATACTTTCGTTCTTGGGTTGTGTTTTCCTAGATTCTCATTTTGGGGTTGCGTGGGGAGCTTAGTTGTGTGGCATCTTGATGTTTGAAGGATGGATCTGAGGTTGCTACCTCATATCTACAGTGGAGAAGATCTTAAGAGCATTAAAGCCCCTGTTCTTGTGTTGTTAATGGAGCTATCATGTCCCAAACCTTAGTTCTAATGTGTATAATGCTTAGATCTTCATGGATTCACGTAAAGTTTACCACTTTACGTGATGGATCGGTTGTAGGAGGCTAGATCTATGTTTTGGATCAATTGCATGGCCTGAGATGCTTCTGTAGGGATTCAGACCGGTGGTACTCGACGAGTCACAAGGGTGGCCTCGACGAGTTCCTTGAAGATGGCCTGGAACTCGACGAGTTGGAAGAACAACTCGGCGAGTAGGTTGAAGATAGCCTTAGACTCGGCGAGTCTGTTCTTGGACTCGGCGAGTCTTGTCGAAGATTCCCAATATTTTTGGTTGAGTCGATGAATCGGTGAGTCAAGGGATGACTCGGTGAGTTGGGTGCGAGTGGACTCAGAGTGGTTGGACTCGGCGAGTCTTAGGGTGACTCAGCGAGTCAGGTCGTGGATTGAGGGAAGTTCTGAGCTTGGGGACTCGGCGAGTCATCGGGTTGACTCGGCGAGTAGAGTCAGTTAGGGGTTGACCAGTTGTCTTCCAGGGGTATTTTGGTAAATAAGGGTATATATATATTTTTATATTGAGTTGAATGTTTTGATGTTCAGTGAAGGAGTTCGTGTCAGAGTTCGGAGCAGCGGGATCTTATCCTTTCAGCTGGCAGTTTCGAGGTGAGTTATCCTCACTGTATCAACAGGGTCTAAGGCACTAAGGTCGGCCCTTTATTGGATTGTGATTTGGATATGGTTATTATGTTATTGTTTGATGTGTCTGCATCCTGGTAGCTAGGATGGTACATGCTAGGAGACCTTGTTAAGGTCAGTTTCCCGATATATAAAGTGATGTTATGCTAGTGACCGGTTAGGTCGGTAACCTGGTTAGGGTAATGATATGCTATGTGATCTGCTTGCTCGGTTTGTTGACTATGCTGTTATATGATACTATGTTTTGTGCACATGGTTGTTTGGACTGGAGATGGGTTGAGGCGGGTCCTGCTTTGTGCTGTAGGCCAAGATACTCAGGGCGGACCAGTTATTCCGAAGGCCCAACGAGCGGTCCGGATAGGCTGTAGGCCCATGAGGGCGGACCAGACGTGTCGAGGCTCAGAGAGTGGACCAGACTGACTGAAGGCCCGATGCGGGCGGACCAGTCACACTGTAGACTCAGAGAGTGGACCAGGTGGGTTAAAGGCCCGATACGGGCGGACCAACCCCACTGTAGACTCGAAGGACATGACTAGATCTGGAGGGTGGATCCGGTGGACTGAAGGCCCGATATGGCGGACCAGTCACACAGTAGACCCGATATGCATGGATGTTCTATGTTCTGTTATGTTGTGTATGTTTTATATGTTATGGGCTGGAAGGCAATATGTTTTGGACCGGAAGCTCGTAGCTTGGAAGGGCGTATATGTGGTTGGTATTTTGGGGGTATCTCACTAAGCTTTCGGGCTTACAGTTGTGGTTTAATGTTTTTCAGGTTCTTCAGGAGACTGTGGCAAGGCGAAGGCGCGATCGTACCGCTCCTCACGATTTTCTAGCAATGTGATTCTGGGAATACTCTAAATGATTTGTATTGAAAACCTTTTTGTAAACAATTTAATGAGATCGGGTTGTTTTGAAAAATTTAAATTGGTTGTATTGTTTCGGTCGTTACATGTAACAACTGCAAAACTTTTCAATATGTAATGTATGGTTGTTCTACTTTACTTACTATATGCATTGGATTTGATACTCAACGTGAAGTCAACCCCGAAAATGTTTCCGCCTTCGGTTTTCGGTGTGTGACACTAAGTCCTTTAAACATTATTATTATTATTATTATTATATATATATATATATATATATATATATATATACACACACACACAAGCACATGCATGTATATAACTAAGTTTAATGTATGGTTGTTCTACTTTACTTACTATATGCATTGGATTTGATACTCAACGTGGAGTCAACCCCGGAAATGTTTCCGCCTTCGGTTTTCGGTGTGTGACACTAAGTCCTTTAAACATTATTATTATTATTATTATTATTATTATTATTATTATTATTATTATTTTATATATATATATATATATATATATATATATATATATATATATACAAGCACAGGCATGTATATAACTAAGTTTAAGTGTTTAACAAAGTAGAAGTGTTCCACCAAAAGTATAAGTGTTAAAAAGTAGGAGCGTATCGTGAAGTATGAGTGTATCGTTAAGTATAAGCGTATTGTGAAGTAGGAGCGTATCGTGAAGTAGGAGTGTATCGTGAAGTATAAGTGTATTGTGAAGTAGGAGCGTATCGTGAAGTATAAGCGTAAATAAGTAGGAGCGTATTACGATGTAAAAGCATTACAAGTATAAGTGGAGTATAAGCGTTAACAAGTATAAGTGAAGTAAAAGTGACAACAAGTATAAGTGAAGTATAAGCGTAACAAGTATAAGTGAAGTAAAAGTGGTAACAAGTATAAGCGTATCACAAAGTGAAAGCGTTATCAAGTAGGAGTTTAAACCAAGTAGAAGTGAAGCAGTGGTATCTTAGCCAAGTAATGAAAAACTTTAGGAAAAACCTTTATACTTAAGAAAATCACGACTTGGTATTCTTTTGTAAAATCAGTTTGAAAACCTTTGGAATTCCTTTGGAAACCTTTCATAAACAAGTTTTAAGTGAAACTTTGATAAAACATTTAGTGCGAAAGTCAATTTGAGGAAAGCTTTGTACAAGTAAAAACGTTTTAGAAAAACCATTTACTGTATCATACTTAGTAAAACAGTTGACAGTGTAAGAAATCCTTGTGCATGCGGGTTATCAATCACATGTGATTGATATGATAACTGGCATGTTTAACTTGTATTCCCCCCATAAAACATGTAAAAACATTTAAAAAGGTTAATTCAGGGGTATGAACTCACCTGATGTAAGCGGATCCGACGAAGGTGTCGATTGGGTGCTCGGTGTCAAGAAAGGACTTGGACACACTTAGTGACCTATTAACATATGATAACATATGTTTACATACAATTAGTACATATAATACTAATTAAACAAGTGTACGCATCCTAAAGTGCGGAAAACACTTTGATTAAGTGTTTGGAGTGTCTCGGGTAAAATCTAAGGGTGTGTATGGCCTAGATAGGGAGTTTATTCTTCAAGAGTAAACTCTATATAGAGTTCATGGCCCTGGGACTAACTCCCCATGAGTTTACGGTCGTAAACTCATGGTGAGGGTGTTCTAGGATGCTTAAAGGGCTTATATCAATTGTGGAATTTTGCTAGGTCCAAATATAAAGTGTATGAAGGGGTTTAAAGCTCTTAAGGGACCATTTGAGGAGTCTACGGCCCTAAACAAGGAGTTTACGGCCGTAAGCTCCTATACACACATTCCTTTGATGTATAAGGGTCTTAAATGCTAGGAAATAAAGTTCTATGCAGTTTCCAAGTCAAATGAAGGAGTTTGGGCACCATTTGGGCACTTAATGGGAGTTTACGGCCCATGGACCAATTCTATGGGAGTTCACGGCCATAAACTCCTATCCCCTTGGTTTTATTGAAGTTTTAGGCCTTTACTTCAATGGGTTTGCTTCTAGACATTTTTCCAAGGCCATAGGAGATGTTTTAGGGCATTTCTAACACTAGAAATTGAGTTTACTCCCCATGAAGGGGAGTTTACGGCCCAGGCAAGTTCTTGGGCAGTAAACTCATATTTACTCCCCAAAATCATAGTTCAAGGTGTTCTAAGTCCGATTCCATAAGCCTACAAGTCATATCTAAGCCTTAGGGGCATTTTGGAGGGGTTTTGGGGCTTAAAAACCCCATTAAATGGTGTTCACGGTCCAGGAGTGTTCTTGGGCCGTAAACACCTAATCTTGGCCCTATTTTATGTTTTAAACACGACTTTGCATCCTAGATAAGCTATACAACAAGTTAGGATAGTTGGCTTACTCGTTTGGGGCTTGAAACGGACGATTTTAGGCTCGAAAAATAAGTTGTAGAGAGAGAGTATATATATATATATATATATAGAGAGAGAGAGAGAGAGAGTAAAAAGGTGGAAATGGAGTTTACTCTCCCTTATATAGGGGTTGGAGTTGGCGCTCAGTGGAAATGTACCTGATACTGCAGTTAAACGGGGTTTTTTTATCGCACCCGATTAAACGGTCAAATTTTGCCTTGGTTGAAACTAAACGTTTTTAAGGACATTTTGTGGGTGTTTCTAATTTGTTTCAACCCTTACCAAATCATTATAAAAATCCTAATTTAATTAACCTCTTCCAAAAGGTTAACGGACTAATAATTAAAGCGAGGCTTATTAACGGAAGGAGGTTAAAATCGACGGAATAAATTTCGGGTTGTCACAATCAAATATTTCAATGATTAAAATATTTGAGCTTCAACACAAACAAATTGAAATAGTGATGGAGAAGAGAAGATAGAGTTCTTCTGATGCACTGATTGGGATTTTGAAATTAGAAACCTAGGTAGAAAATCGTAAATCAAAATAACGACAATTTCAGAATTTGGGTTTTTGAACTATGAAACCAAAGACGAAAACGCAGCTAAAGATATTTATTTTGATACCATTGAAACATTCCAGTATCTTGGTCTTCTGTTTAAGTTATTTATATTTTCCAATAAACAAGTGCAGGATAACAAAGTTATGGCACCAAACTCCAAGAAATTATAGTTATTTTACAAGACACTTGTGCATTCATAACTATTAGTTCCCATAAACAGTACAACCGGACAAATTAACTACATTTAATAACACATAATAAGAAGAAATGAAATAAAAACTACCACGAGCATGACTGGTCCTCCGGCGGGGGCTTCGGATTTTACCAACTCAATGAGTCCAGGCGAAATCATCTCACCAGTGTTACTGTCAACGACCACGTCAGCACCCAGCTCGAGGTGATGCTTAGATGATCCGACCCAGTACTTGAATCTATAGTTAATAACAACAGCGATCTTAATATTCACCTCCAGTATCCGACCCACCATGTCCTTACGAGTCTCTGCGAACGTCGACGGCAGCTGGAGATGATCTTTGAGCAGAGTTCTCACGTGATTAGTCTCTACCAGATCTTCGGTGTGCTCTTCTGGGTCAACTACCACCGTAGATGGAAATTGAAGGTCTTTCCCCTCGAGTGATCTTATATGCTTAGTCTTGCCATTACCTTGGTAAAAGCCCGGCAGTGTGCCTGCCCATACATATTCCTGGAAGGGATCTTCGTATGGGTAATAAAAGAACGCAATGCTTAAGGGGTAATCGTAGTAAAGACCGATTGCGAGATTGACATTGCAGAGTGTAAGGTCGAAAGATATGTTTTCTGCCGTGTTGTTTGACGAGTTCTTGAAGGCTGGAACTGAGAATTCCGCTATATAAAGCTCCGGGGGGTTTGGGAATGTGTACAAAGATAAAAGAACGATTACCACGAAGGCGAATGAGAGATTACGACAAACAATATCGCCGCTCATCTTGATGACATGGAAAATTTATGAAAATAGTGAATGAAACTAAGAAACATGATTATTCTATCTTTTATACAAGTAGTTATTCGTTCCCAAAAGTCACATAAATATCTATGCTAATGGTAATGGGTATTGTTATAGGAGTTTTGTTATTTCTCAATGCACACCAATTGATCATATGATTTTGATTATTTATTTATTTATTTATTTTTTGCATTTTATCTGTTTAAATTAAGTTATAATCCAATTTAATTTGTATTTTATTGTGTTGTTTTCAATGTTACATTAATATTATAAGAAAAAATTGCGAAGATGATCCCTATAGTATGTATAAAATTACAATTTTGATACAAAAAGTTTTAGAATAATACCACTCGTTTAAAATTTTTATTTTGTTGTTAGTTTTGATGAATTTGTTTTGAATTTTTTCAAATGATAAGTTTGACTTTGGTATTTTAATTTTTAATTTCTTTTAGACAAAATATCATAGATGATATTTCAACTTTTTGGTTTGTCTCAAAATAAAAGTTCTTAGGAAACTTTTTTTTCCCATTGATAGCCCCTCGAGCAAACATTCCACACAAATGTCTTTTTAATTTTAATTTTGTCAAAATACTATCATTTTGATTAACATTGTTAAACTTTGTAGTTAAACCTATGTGAAATTACCAATATGCCATTTAGGATTTTATATATATATATATATATATATATATATATATATATATATATATATATATATATTATAGAATAGTAGCATTCTAACGAATATGACATATTAAAAAAAGTTAATAATCATAGTAAAATAATCTCAACAATACACATATACAATATTTATTATACAATAATATCATAAATATAATATTTTTTTTACGGGCTCATATATTTACTGTTTATATTTGAACTTTTATATATATATATATATATATATATATATATATATATATATATATATATATATATATATATATATATATATATATATATATATATATATATATAATGGTTCTATTAAAAAATTATTAAAGCTAAAGATTGAGCGTTTTACAATTTGCAACATGAAGTCGATGTTGAAGTAGGCGCTGTGGATGATGGTCTAACTATTCTAAATAAGACTTTGAATTTATAATTATTAGTTTCCAACTTCCCATAAGCGTGATGAGCCTTTCCAGATCCAGTACAAAGACAACAAATTAACTACATTTAAAAACATATAATAAGAAGAAATTGAGTAAAAAGTAACACGAGCATAACTTCTCTTCCGGCGGAAGCTGCGGATTCTACCAAGTCAATGCTTCCAGGCGAAACCATCTCACCAGTGTCAAGGTCAACCATCACATTACCACCAAGCTCCAGTTGATGCTTAGCTGATCCGACCCAGTACTTGAATCTATAATTAATAACAACCGCGATCCTAATATTCACAGCCGGTAACCGACCCAGCATGTCCCGACGAGTCTCTGGCAACGTAGATGGCAGCTGGAGGTGGTCCTTGAGCAGGGATCTCGCATGATCAGACTTTACGAGATCTTCGGTGTGCTCTTCTGGGTCGACTACCACCGTAGATGGAAGTTGGTGGTCATTCCCCATGAATGATTTGATATGCTTCGTCTTGCCATTACCTTGGTAAAAGGCTGCGAGAGTGCCTGCCCAAACATATTTCTGGTAGGGTTCATCATATGGGTAGTAAAAGAAGGCGATGCTTAATGGGTCTTCGTAGTAAAGACCGATTGCCTTATTCATATTTCTGAGTTTAAGGTCGAAATATATGTTTCCGGCGGTCTGGTCTGACGAGTTGGTGAAGGCTGGAACTGAGAATTCCTCTATAGAGAGTTTTGGGGGATTCGGATATGAGTAGAAACATAAAAGGACGATTATCACGACAGCCACTAACATATTGAACGTGCCGATAGTAAAATTATAGCTCATCTTAACACAGGGAAAATTTAACAAATTTGGTGGATGAAAACTTAGAAAGGCTTATTGTATAACACTGTAGTTATTCTTATTCGTTCCATAAATACATTACATTAATGGTCCCTCTATTTTAAAAGGAATACATGTTCAGTCCATAACTTTTTTTATGAGGATACTATGGCTTAGAATTCTTACATGATACCATATAAAATGAGTGTTAAACCTTTTTTATTTGATTTTATATCTATTTTGGTTAATAATATTTTATAATATTTTTTAATATAAAAGGACCACACCATATCACCTCCGATCCCTTCCTCTTCGTTCTCGCATCACTCGCTGCTACCACCACCTCCATTACTATCCATTGTCCACCTGCACCAGTTTGATGAAAAAGAATACCAATTTTTTGGGACTTTGTTTATTGTTTGTGTTTGAAAAAGACACAGGTAAACACAATGAAGATACCAAGTTAAGAAAATATCAACATAAACACCCAAAAAAAAAATTTGAATCATGTTTCAAAAATCTCTTATTGGAAACACAATGAAAATTTTAATTGGTGGCTCATCATTACAATAAAATCAGATTCGCAATAGTTACCGATCATATTGTACAGTTACAACTAAAAAACTCAAAAACAAATCACAACACAATATTCGAGGAATTTGAATCATGGTTCAAGAACCTAGCTTATGAATACAACACGGTATGATAAAAATAACACAGAGTTTGTGTTTCCCACAAAACTAAGGGCATCTACATTCTACAACCCACTCTCATTTCTATTTTTTCCAATCTTCTCGAACTCTGATATAAATAATATTACATGAAATATGTTGTTATAGTTTTCGTTTTACCAAAATATGATGAACTTTGCGTTGTTGGTTTTAATCCATTTGTTTATATATTTATACATTTCAAGTTTTTTTTACCTACTGATTATAATTTAAATATAATCTTTAATACATATAATATTTTGTAATATATTAAGTTGTATTAATTATTCATAAATATAAAGTTTGTTTTTTGTTCATAAAATTTATATAAAAAGTTAAGTATATATTGGAATTTATTATATATATATATATATATATATATATATATATATATATATATATATATATATATAATGCAGGAAAACAATTATACAGTTAAAAGAGTTATGAGAGTTATGGATAAAAGTTTATATCAACAACATAACCAATAATTTGGATATTAAGAGTGTAAATATAGTCAAAATAAAAAATAATTATTCGTAGATAATTGTTTAACGTATAAAGTTGTACTCCCTAAAGTATAATATAAAACAAAAATTAAAATTGAATCCTACGGGTTTCGTTTGTGGAAAATGATTTATTATTAAAAATATATAAAATTAAAAAATTAACCTCATAGTTCAGTAGTTGGATCCATGTTCATCCAATCGATTGCAACCAAAATAAACAAGGACGAATAAAGAAGCCATATCCTTGTAGACCTTTGAGTTATTCTCTTGATCTTAATGGAAAGAGAGCGCCAAGAGTCCAACATATAGATCCTCATTCGTAGTCGCACCCAAGAAGATGATAAGAAACATCCGACACCCAACCAAAAAACACCTAGAATGTCAACCAAAGAAACCATTTTGGCAACAGGACGCACAACGCCAGTGTGAAGACACGCGTGTCCTAGTTTACTTGAAGAAAAGAAAACGTCCTGGTGTGGGGTATTTTTCGTATGGCCTTATTTATGCATATATTTTTGCATCATCATGTATATTTAAGTTGTATTTCGCTATAATTAAAGATGAAAGGTGGTTATAATGATTGTAATTGTAATTTTGTTAATAACTAACATTGTTGAGAAAAATCAAGAAAATAGAGTTATATACTAAGTTGGAATGTAAGAAGCTTACAAAGTGCGAAATCAAAGAGTTACGTGATGTGCACATTTTCAGTACTCGACACGTTGATCAGATAAATTTTTGTTATATGTTGAATCTTGAAGAACCTAACATTTTGTGGAAGAAAAGTAAAATGTGAGATGTTTATTATGATGGGTTTTAGCCATAAGAACATCCTATGTGCTCATACAAACCATAATGCTTGGATCTAGGTTTCTCTATTGTACATGCAAATCATCCAAGACTATAAATCCTAGATCTAGTATATGATAATCAATATAACATATGAATTAGGTTTATATCATACCTTGATTGTTATGTAGCAATAACAATCTAAAATCCTTCTTGTAATGACTTTAGAAAGCTTAGAGTCACAAATGTCACTCCTCTAATGGTTCACAAACACCAAGAGCAAGAGGATGAAGAAGACAAGAGAAGGAGGCTGCCCAAAATCGTCCAAAACCCTAGAGGATCTCACCACCACGTTTTTGGGGCTGAAGGGTGCTATTTATACATGTAAGCTATTATGGTTTTAAACTAGGAAACCCTAATCTGACTGCTTAAGCCCTAAGCAGCCCATGGATTCCTTTCTTAAAGGCCTTGGATGATTTCTAATGGGTTCCCCATAGAATTCGTCCAACCTTATATAATAAGGTAATCCATAGCCCAATTGAAATTATCTTATAATTACAATTCCATTCCCTTAAGTTTAATTAATCTCTTTCAGCCTCAAAATTAATTGTCAATTAGTTCTTGACTAATATTAATTAAACAATATGATTTCTCCTTTAATATATTATTCTCATAATATATTAATAAATCATAATTAATCCTCTCTCTCCATAATTCATCTTATCAAGTTGCTTTGGTGAAGGCAACCCAAAAGGACCATGCACCATCGGGTCAAGTACATACGAAAATAGTTATGGACTTAGACACTAATCTAATAGTCTCCCACTTGGATAAGTCTAATAACTATTCTGTGTATGAATTCAGATCCTGATTTGCAATCGTAGCTTTCCAAAGCCGTTGTTAACTTTGATCCTATCATATACGCGTGTCCTTTAGATAAGGGATCATATATTCCTCCATTCTAGATATCGTATAAGACATGATTTCGAATCATCCTCTCTATACCATTTCTCGACTTCCGATTTGTGACGATTGACTAATAGAACGAATCAAATTAGCCCTAGCCCGGCCGAGCATTTACGTTTTTCATCACTAAATCATCGAGGGGCCCTAAGATATCGCCTTTATCCTACTTTGGATAAAAGGAACGGATAAACTTTGACTCAATGTTCGCTTGCACTCACTCACCGAATAACACACAACAATATGCTTTATAACACCAAGTTACTGGTGCGTTTATATATTATCAATGTGCAACTGATTTGCAAGATACAACTCACACGTCTCGGTTTCAAGAATATAAGATATTATCATCTCACGAATCACTAGTGATACAATTCATGGAGTGATCCAAGTGAGCGTGGGTTTAATCCAATGCTCAAATCATATTCATAAGCACTCATGAACATTGCAGCAAACATTTGCTTATGTCTAATACTCTTTAGACAATCCACACACCAATTCACGACAGTCTTCATTCATACCTACTTCCAACATATGAATCGACTGTGGCTCGTTTGAATAATTTAATTGGTTAAAAACAGTCAAATTATTTGTTGTTTCGGGTAATCAAAGTGAAACACAAGAATAATACTAATTTCATATGGCCTTAAACCTTTTGAGTATAAATAAAACACCTTTTATTTATCACCATATCAATTACTCATTATTTGCTGTTTCGGGTAATCAACTTCTTACTTGAATTACAACACTTGTCCCATGCTCTCAGCATGCACACAATGTTTACCTATGGTTCTTACTTTGTGAAATAGATCAAATGAACACATTTCCAATCATACTCATTCCATAGCTCCCAATCCTTATCATAAGTGTAATAATATCAAATTCTTCCCACTTGTAGAATATGCTAGATTCTAACATTTTATGCAATGATCCTTTTGTAATGTAACTGCACTAAGGTCACAATGACTATTGCCAATGAATTACAAAGCTCTCTATCGGAAATTGTGTTGGATAAGGTGTCTAAGTCCATAACTTATTGGATATATACTTGACCCGACCCGGCATGGTCCATTTGGGTTGCATTTCATTCAAACTATTTATGGATAATTTTATGAGAGTTATACACATATGATTATTAATATATTATAAGTTATAATATATTAATATGAAGTCATGTTATTTAATTAGTCTTAGTCTTAAGTTAATTATGAATTAACTTATAGATTAAAAGGAAGACTAATTAGATTGTGGGCTATTGGTTTTATATGGTGTGGGCTAATACTCATTTGTTAATGGGCTAGGCTTGTATAGAAGTCCATGGATGATCCATGGAGCTTTTATCCCATGGATCCTTGGAAAAGGAAAGGTCATGGGTTATTAGGGTTTCACCCTAATCATGTACACTATATAAGCATGCTTATGTTGCATGAAATAGCCACTAGTGCAACTAGTGTGACTAGAGTATGTGTGTTTGTGTGTGGCCGATTTTATAGTGTGTATACACTCTCTCAAAGTTTTCCAAGAGTTTGTGGTGATTTGTGATTCCATTTGAGGCATTCACACTATTGGTGCTTGGCCCTCAAACTCCTTAGGAATCAAACTCATCATCAAAAGGTATGTAATCTCATCTAATTCTTTTATGTTTAAAAGTACCCCATGCCATGTTAGATAGGTTATGAACCTTGGAAAATTATTATTTTACATGTATTTAGACAAACATAGATCCAAGGTTTATTAGGGTTGCATGCACACTTAGGAAGTGTTAGATTGCTCAAAACCCAACAGTGGTATCAGAGCCTAGGCTTGCTTGTTTGAATACTTGATGCAAATTGCTGAAAATCGAAGATTTTATGCTGTCTGCACAGTTGACTCGCCGAGTCCATGAAGGGACTCGATGATTCCAAGACAAAATTCATCCAACTCGGCGAGTTGCTTCATGCACTCGAAGAGTTGGAACCCCAGACAACATATCTTCGAGTTTTGGTGTTGGAATTGGTCT